TCAACCCCCATATACTTTTATTGTGTTATAAAAGTCTAATTGTCCCTCTACTCAACACACACACCACCAACATTCACCACAAATTCGCAATGACATATAAAGCGGCAGTGCAAGCAGAAAGAAAAGAAGAAAAAAAAATCATCTACCATCCTCAAGTACAATAGCACTCTTTGAATCTCAACATGTGCTCTCCAGTTTTTTTCCTGGTTTTAGCTTCAGTCTGTGTCTTCAAACCAGGCTCAACAAAAGGCATCAGGGGCTATCATACACCTATTACAACCAGTGAACTAATGATTAGCGGAGTTTAAAAATGGCAGTGACAAAAGAATCTGCACCTGCATGAAGTGACAGACCATTAATGATGAAATTACAGATCTGCAGCATTAAAACAAACCTGCAGAGCGGTTCCTAGCCTGAGTGCCAAATCCAGTGTCAAGGACGCACTCTCTTCAAGTACACACCCATGTGACTGTGTCCTCCAGTGAAATCCACAGAAAGCATATAAACTTCAACTCAAATCAAGTCAGTTTACATGTTAGTGTCCGTCCGATGCGAACTGACTACGCAGAGGAATTGACCACAGCCTATTTCTGGTTTAACTTAATTCACACAGACTTTAAAAAAGGTCCAGTGTTTAACAGTTGGGATGAGCTACTGGAATAAAAAAATATGTATGTATATATAAATATCTATTACAAAATAGAATAAAAAATATATTTTCGTCAGTGTATAATCACCTGAAAATAAGAATGGTTATTTATTTTAGTTTTTATCTACAAAAGGAGCAGGTCTTCCATGGAGCCATGTTTAACCACCATGTTTCCACAGCAGTTCAGAACAAACTTTTGCGTTTTGAAACTTCTTGGGGACTCCTTTTCTCTGGTTTAAACAAGTTTAAATTGAATATATGTGGCTTTTGTACTGTTGGCCAGAGAAATCTTCATCTTGAGCTCGAGAAAACTGTAATGGGAATTTTTGAAATTTCATAGACTAATATTTAATAGATTGCCTCCTTATGCCTCATACTTTGGTTTTCAAAAGCCTGTTTGTTGATGCTATGTGTCAATGTCTTATTTTGTGTTCTTTAATATGAGTCAATATTAATGTATACCATTATGGCAAGGAATGATCACACTGATGTTTCATTCACTGTTGAAGCATAATTCGGGAATTTAGTGTAATAAACAAATCTTTGTCATTACATCAATGTAAATATGTAAGTTTTATTATTGTAATGCAGCTTAAAATTTCTTCTTTTTTTTCCCCTTTTATTTTTAGACCACTTCAGAGTTCTTTATGACTTGAAGTATTTTGACTTTAAATAATGATTTGAACAAACATTCAAATACAAGACATGTGTTGTTTGTGTTTTAAAATTCTCTAGAGACCCCCACTGCAAAAAACATATCAAAGTCACGGATGATTTTCCTGAATGAAAACAATGTGATGATGAAAGTTACTATTTATAAGTCATGTGACAACTTTGAAGTAAAAAAATTCAACTTTAGTTCAGGTAACTCATGTTTTAAAGGCAGCAGGGAAACTTCTGTTTTTAGGTCGAACCAGATGTTTTACAGTGTGTGTTCCACTTTTAATCATTACTTTAGACAAAAATGTTCACTGGATAAAACAAAACCTTTTAATAGAGTTTTGTCCCACACATTATTGCCCTGGCATATATCAAAGTTTTAAAACAAGCACACAATCCTTCTCTCCGCCTACAGAACATACATGCAATTTTACT